AAGCTAACGCAACATGATTGGCTTTTATGAGCCTATGCAATCAGGAGGTAGAAAGAAGCCTACTGACTTTACTATTGAAAAGATATAAAAATTCATAGAGAAGTTTGAGATCCCCCCCCCCATCTGAATTAAGGTTAGCAAGTTCACAGTCCTAGGTTCCAGGAACTAGCTGGCCACCCAAAGAAAGAACTAGCCAGGGGGCAGGTCAGCTAGGTTGTTCCAACAAAGAATAGCAGAACTAATAATGCAGGTTGGCTAAGTTACTCTAGGAAGTAGCTGACCACAAGAAAATGGTCAGGTTAAGGTCACATTCCTGAATAAAATGTGTACAGGATGTTTCCCACTCCCCACCCTGGTTTATGACCAGCTAAATAATGAGTTAAGAATTTTCTACTATTTTTATGATGTGGGTTGGGACTTTCCACTGTTCCCTCTTGGTTTCCCCCTTCACCCCCCTGGTTTGTGGTTTTCTCCTTTAAATACCCCTTGCTCCCAAGCCTCGGGGTCGACGCTCCTCTTGTGAGTCTAGCCTCAGCCGGCTGATATCCCGAAATAAAGCCTTTTGCAGTTTGCAGCAAGTTCTGTCTTTTGCGTGATTCTGGGTGGCCATAATCTCCTGTGGCTTGAGTGGGGGTCTCCCCTATCACAGGGACTTTCATTTCACAACTGTTTTCATGACTTTAATTGTCAGGACTGCTATACTATGTCCCATCCCATGATCACCAGGCATCTTAGCTTGCTTCTGGGTCATAAAAAACACCAAATCCCAATGTCCTATCTTGGCCAAGTACAGCTGATATCTGAATCGCTTTTGTTCCATTTGTCTACAATAGATTGTGAACCATCCCTCAATAACATTTCTACCAGGAAGCCTTCTTTAGGAATATAGATCTTTCTGGATTACTTTATTCCATTTCTAGATACTTCACGGCGTATCTAATTCTTTTTTTTTTTAAAGATTTATTTATTTATTATATATGAATACACTGTAGCTGTCTTCAGACACCTCACAATAGGGCATCAGATCTCATTACAGATGGTTGTGAGCCACCATGTGGTTGCTGGGATTTGAACTCAGGACCTCTGGAAGTGCAGTCAGTGCTCTTAACCACTGAGCCATCTCTCCAGCCCCGCGTATCTAATTCTTAAAGATAGTATCCTGGAGGAATTATCATCTACCCAAGAATAAGACAATAGGCATCCTGGCAGCAGGCAGTTACAAGTGGGACTGTGCTATTTAATGTCACTGGTTTCTTTCTAGGTTAAATGGCTTGTTAGTTCTCAAACTCTAATGACATTTTAAATCATCCATTCAAATAACGAAGTAATAGGAACTCCATAGATTAAGCTTCCCCTCAGGGTCTGAGGCTACACAGGTGAACAAAACAAAACAACAAAAACAAAACAAACAAACCCAAATAAACAAAATGCCTCATCTATACATGTTAACATATCATCTATATATTTATAGTATGATTCTCTCCTTGAAGTGGAACAGTTCTCCATCTATGACCTTCATTAAATTACCTTTACACCTCAGCAAACAGATATCTGTGTTTCTTATATGAGAAGCGTGGAAAACCTTCATTTTTTGAGTTTTTTTTTTTTTTCTGATGAGGCTGATATAACAGTACACAAAATTCATGCGGAGAATTTGTTCTAACAAATTGATTTTCACACTGCTGTACTGACAGTGTTTGGAAAGATATTTATGGAATAAGAAATATGAGGCAGATGGTCAAGGGATAAAAAGACCTACATATTTCCTTGAGTGATGTTATAGATGCAAAGTCACAATTCTACTAAGAGGCAAAAGAATTACTATTAACAAAAACGTCCAGATGAGGATCTACTTGCATCCAAGGGAAAACAGAATTATTTTTAACCTACTGGTAGGGGGAGGGACTAGAAAAAACTTTGTGGAGTGTTTTGCTTATTCCTTAAGAGACCAAGACAAATAAAAAATGTCCCTGGGGATAGAGCTGAGATTATAATTTAGTAGTAAACTTGAGGTCCTCAAGTCAATTCTCAACATGCAGGGTTAAATGTACCTGACATTTTTCAAAATATCTTAAGAATGTCTAGATTTGATCTACTTAATCTATAGTGATTTCTTTTAAAGTGTATTTTATGTTTTGAGGATCTCACAGAATATCTGGGACTAGCTTGGAACTAGATACGTAGACCAAGCTGTATTTGGACGAGTCTCAAATACTGACATTAAAGATGTGAGCCACCATACTCAGCTTATGGTGAATTTTTTTATTTAATGTTTTAATACGTTTTATAGACTCACAAAGACTACAGTGTTTACAATTTTGTGTAAAATTTGATTTCTGAAAACAGCTAAAAGGAGAGGGGAGATCTGACAGGAACCCTGGGTTTGCCTGTAACTCAGTACATAGCCCATACTATCCCTGAGCTCAAAATGAACCTCAGCCTGCCTTTGACTTCCATGTGCTTGTCATTCCACGCTTGTGGGACCACCCCTGCTGTAAATACCATGTTTTCCAAATCTGTCAGAGATCTAGGTGATTTTGTTGGTCAGTCTTGTTTGCTGAGAACATGTATGTCTTTAGTTAAGGCATTTAGTTTTTAGTTTGACTGGTAGATGCCCAAAGTAATTCAGACTAAGAGTTTAAACACCATTTCTACAAGAGACTAAGTTGGTAGTCTTTAACAGAGATAAGTGTTAAAGTGTTGAGGGTCTGTGTGACCATCACTAGCTTGGAACTAGGAATAGAGAGCGGGATGCCCCAAAAGTATCTCAAGTGCTGGGATTAAAGGTGAGCTGCCACGCCCAGTTAATGGTGAATGTTTTATTTAATGTTCTAATACCTTTAAGTATCCCATAGGCCCCACATGTTGCTTTGTTTCTTTGCTTTATTATTGTGTTTTTCTTTGACAATCAGTCAGGTAAAGACAAGGCTTGAGGTGCTTGCCTCTAATCCCAGCATACACTGGGAGAAGGAGAAGGACTGCCAATTTGATGACAGTTTGAACTACAAATCCAGTGAATTTCAGGTCACCTTGACTGTAGAGGGGTCCTGTGTTAAAACAACAAAACTAACTTTAGTACACCTGATATCTTAATTTATTGAATTAATTGAAAACTGAATGTAAAAATATACCATATACAGTTTTTTCAAAACACAAGCCATAGCCGGGTATAGTGGCCCACTCCTTTACATCCAGCACTTAGAAGGCAGAGGCAGGTTGATCTCTGAGTTCAAAGCCAGCCTGATCTACAGACTAAATTCTAGGGCAGCCAGGGCTACAAAGAAAAAACCCAAACAAAAAAAAAAAAAAAAAAAAAAAAACAAAAACAAAACCAAGAACAAAACAAAATATAAGCCATGATATTTTTGGATTTTTTTTTCCAAGTTAGAACTATGAATATTATATATTGGTCATAAAAAGGCAGTATTCAAAGTATAAAACTGGCAATAATTTTGTTTTATATATTTGTGCTTAGTCTTCAAAATCCTGAATGCATTTTATGTATACAGAGCACATAAGTTACAATACTAAACTTTAACTGGTAATGCTTGTTTTAGTCATAATTATTAACATTGTATCAGAGAACAGTACTCCATGCCCAATTAACTAAGGGCTTTTCACTAGTCTAAGTCTACACTGATTTAATTGTGCTGGAATTAATTTTAAAAATAAGAAACTTTAATATTCAACTTCTAAAACCTAGAGTAGGAGACATTGCTCAGTGGGTAAAGCACTGTCCCTATGAGTTTGATCCCAGGGTAGAAGGAGAGAGCCAGCTCCTACAAATAATCCTAAGAGCTATATAATCCACAACTGTAAAAGTCACACACACACACACACACACACACACACACACACACACACTAAATATAAATGTAATTGTTTTAAAAAGTTATGTAGCCCTGGTTGGCCTGGAACTCAATATGTAGTTCAGGCTGGCTTTGAATTCAATCCATTTCTCTCTCTCTCTCTCTCTCTCTCTCTCTCTCTCTGTCTCTCCACCCATCCCTCTCTCCCATGTATGTACGTATGTATGTACGTACGTACACACACACACACACACACACACACACACACATCTTAGCTGGGTGTGGTGTTGAGTCCCAGTACTTGGAAAGCAGAAGCAGAGGATCTCTGGGAGTTGGAGGCCAGCCTGAGCTCCAGGATAGTCAGGACTACATAGAGACCTTGTCTCTAAATAAATAAATACATAAATGAATAAATAAATAAATCACAACTACCTATATGTATACAGTAAAAGTTAAATCGATTAATCCATACTCTGCAGTCATACTTTTTAGTTAATTCCACTTCAGCATTAATGTCAAATTACGAAGGGGAGGGAGGAATGATCACAGCAACAACCTGCACACACAGAAGACACCAGGAGGATACCTAGTAACAATTTAAATAAGGCATAGCTTGAGGGTGGGACTGCAGCTGACAAAAGCGTTATTTTATCTTTGCGAGAATTTTTTTTTAATGCTTTTAAGGTATTTTAAAGGACAAATATCAACATTTTTAACCTCATAATCTTGAATATAATTTTAAATATTTCTAATATGCTATACTAAACGAAAGCAGTTGTGAAAACACATGTATCAGAAATTAAAACATTAAGCTTTAAATCAGCTTCCGGTTGGCGGTTTCCCGCCGGTGGAATGTAATGAAAACCGCCCTCTCGGTAAGGAGAGGCTGACGCTGCTGGTTACCACAGTGAAGTCCGATCGGCCATTTTTAATGAGGTCATTCCTAATGCATCCTGCGATCACAGGAAACGGGGGCGGGACGCCGGGGAAACTCGACCAATAGGATCATGGAAAGGAATTCTGCTGTCAGTAACTAGGAGAGGACAACAGAGCTCACAGCCTGGGGCGGAAGGCGATAGATAAATTAGTCCGGTCTCAGGAAGCAGTTTCTGCGGCCTAGCGGAACTACAGATTTCTAACAGAAACGTTTCTGTCCGGAGTTTGGTATCTGCTTCCGTTACTGAGCGGAAGTGTGGTTCGCCAGAGGACGACCCTTGGACGAATTTACTCTCCGCTATACGCTCGGCAGGCATCATGTCGAGTTTGGCGGTCAGAGACCCAGCCATGGATCGATCACTGCGTTCGGTGTTCGTGGGGAACATTCCGTATGAGGCGACGGAGGAGCAGTTAAAGGACATTTTCTCAGAGGTTGGTTCTGTTGTCAGTTTCCGTCTCGTCTACGATAGAGAGACTGGAAAGCCCAAGGGTTATGGCTTCTGCGAGTACCAAGACCAGGAAACTGCTCTTAGTGCCATGCGGAACCTCAATGGGCGAGAATTTAGTGGGAGAGCGCTCCGGGTGGACAATGCTGCCAGTGAAAAGAACAAGGAGGAGTTAAAGAGCTTAGGCCCGGCAGCCCCCATCATCGACTCACCCTATGGGGACCCTATTGATCCAGAAGATGCTCCAGAATCGATTACTAGAGCAGTCGCCAGCCTGCCCCCAGAGCAGATGTTTGAGCTGATGAAGCAAATGAAGTTGTGTGTCCAAAACAGTCACCAGGAAGCTCGAAACATGCTACTTCAGAACCCACAATTGGCGTATGCTCTGCTGCAGGCACAAGTGGTGATGAGAATCATGGACCCAGAGATTGCACTGAAAATTTTGCATCGTAAGATACATGTCACACCACTGATCCCAGGCAAATCTCAGCCTGTCTCTGGGCCTGGCCCTGGTGGGCCTGGACCTAGTGGGCCCGGGGGGCCTGGAGGCCCTGGCCCTGGCCCTGCTCCTGGCCTCTGCCCGGGACCTAACGTTATGCTGAACCAGCAGAATCCTGCCCCTCAGCCTCAGCATTTGCCACGAAGACCTGTGAAGGACATTCCTCCTCTGATGCAGACCTCTATCCAGGGAGGAATTCCAGCTCCGGGGCCAATACCGGCTGCAGTTCCTGGACCTGGACCTGGACCTGGTTCCTTAACTCCAGGAGGAGCAATGCAGCCACAAGTTGGCATGCCAGTGGTTGGTCCAGTGCCCTTAGAGCGAGGACAGATGCAGATATCAGATCCTAGACCTCCAATACCTCGTGGACCCATGCCTTCTGGTGGCATACCTCCTCGAGGACTACTGGGAGATGCTCCAAATGACCCACGTGGAGGGACTTTGCTCTCAGTGACTGGAGAAGTAGAGCCCAGAGGTTATATGGGACCACCCCATCAGGGTCCCCCAATGCATCATGGTCATGACAACCGTGGCCCTGCCGCACATGATATGAGAGGAGGACCATTAGCAGCAGATCCCAGAATGCTAATTGGAGAGCCCAGAGGTCCCATGATAGACCAAAGAGGTCTGCCTATGGATGGTAGAGGAGGTAGAGAATCTCGAGGGATGGAGACTCGGCCCATGGAAACGGAGGTCTTGGAGCCTCGAGGAATGGAGAGAAGAATGGAGACCTGTGCCATGGAAACCAGAGGGATGGAAGCAAGAGGCATGGATGCAAGAGGACTAGAGCTGAGGGGCCCTGGCCCTAGTTCCAGAGGTCCAATGACTGGTGGAATCCAGGGTCCTGGCCCCATTAATATGGGGGCAGGTGGCCCTCAGGGACCTAGACAGGTTCCAAACATTGCTGGAGTGGGAAATCCTGGAGGTGCCATGCAGGGGGCAGGTATACAAGGAGCAGGAATGCAGGGAGCAGGTATGCAGGGAGCAGGCATGCAGGGAGCAGGCATGCAAGGAGGGATGCAGGGAGCGGGCATGCAAGGAGGGATGCAGGGAGGAGGTATGCAAGGAGGAATGCAGGGAGCAGGCATGCAAGGAGGGATGCAGGGAGCAGGCATGCAAGGAGCCAGTAAGCAAGGTGGAGGCCAGCCTAGCAGTTTTAGCCCTGGGCAAAGCCAGGTAACTCCCCAAGATCAAGAAAAAGCAGCTTTGATCATGCAGGTTCTTCAGCTGACTGCAGATCAGATTGCCATGCTGCCTCCTGAGCAAAGGCAGAGTATTTTGATTTTAAAGGAACAAATCCAGAAATCCACTGGTGCGTCTTGAATGGTTTTCAACTAAGAAGTACTTCGTTATTCCTTCAAAGTTTATTCTGTGGCATGAAGTGGTGCAAAAGGCTGTCTTCTGTGTTCGCACACTTTAACCATTTAAGGTCTCCTTCTCTCTAGACCTTAATCTTATTTCTAGTCCTGTCGCTTTCTGCTTTCCTTTTATTTTCTGATTGGGGGTAGGGGGTGGAGGGAGTGGGCATGTTCACTTTGTCACTATTACTCTACTAAGTACCCTGAAAATGTCTACGTCATACCAAATAAGGCCATGAGGAAGATGCAGGAATAATAACATGTCTGCACTTTGTTAACCACGTTCTAAAAATACTGAGTAAACGGGGAACTACAGAAAAGTTGAAAGTGGCTTGTTACAGTGTTGATATACTAAGATAGCTTAAAGTGTTTTGGTTGTATATTGAACTGAATGACAGAATGTTAAGATACATGTTTTGGAAAACTAAAATACTGTATTTTGGAGGCAGTAGAGTACTGTAGTAATGCTAATATTTAGTTATTTTGGAATTATTTTTGAAATATTGGAGCTAACAGTCTGTGGTGTAGATTTTTTTTTAAATATCATTATCTGTAAAAAGATAATTTTCATTTATCTGACTTTTTTGAGACCATTAATATTTTTGCCTGGTCCCAACTGTGGTGATTTTGCAGGATAGTTGTAGTGTCAGCTGAATTATATAAAGCCTTTTCTGGGAATACTCAAGTGATCTCCTAATACATTTCTCTAAAAATTCTTAAGCCCCAAGTCTGATTGTAAGTAGATTTTTCATACCATCTAAAAGAATCAGACATGGGGGTTGGACTTTCTTGAGTAATGAAGGTTTTTGTTTTGTTTTGTTATTCCTTCAAATAAAGCTCCCAGGTTCTTGATAAACCACTATCCATACACAGATGGAATCCATTTGGTCAGCAGGAATCAGAAGTTAAAAAATCTTAGTCTTTGCATTTTGACGTGTCATACAGTTTGATAACCTTCACAGACTACTTTCCTGTCATCACCTTACTAGAACCGAGGCCCAGGGGGACTGACAACTCTGCTCAGCTAACTTAATATTTCTTACAACTCACAAAAGCCTTTTGGTCATAACATGTTCCTATGAGATGTGCTTTAAAATAAAGCAGTATGGAACTTAATACATTTTCATTAGCGCTACCATATTATTTTTTGACCATGGCACCTAGATACCATGTTATACCTAGTGTGCAGAAATAAGCACGAGCTAGCCATTTGACCAAGTGACATTCCTCTGTAGGAAAATAAATACCCAGCTACAGAGAGGAGAATAGCCTTAGGGAGAGAGCTGAGCCAAGGGATGTTTTTCCCCTTGCAAAGTTAGAGCATTTTAAGTGTACAGAGTCTTCATTCCTAGGCTAGTTTCCATCGATTTAGCTTTTTGTGTGAGTGTTAAACTTCCTGTGGTTTCCTCTGCCTCTCCTATGCTGAAGTGGGTTTGTGTTGTGTACCTTTGTGCTAGTTCTGGCTGATTCCAGTTGCTTGCTTTCGAAATTGCAGTTGTTAGCCCCAAACTTCTTAAAGTCTTTGTTATAAGAAAATCTCTGCATTGTTTAATGAAAATTAAATAAAAAGGTTGTATAATTAAGGTATTTTGTATGTTTAATCTTATTTAATACATTGGGAAATAACTTTTTAAGAGATACATGCATACATACGTAGAAAAAAGTGAAACTAAGGAAACTGGTGGAAATACCTTTAATTATTGTATATGTAGTTCAACAGCTGGAATACTGCAAAGACACTGCTGTCCATTGTGATACCTCCCACAGCAGACATGGTATGTCCTTTGGAATACTGTGTTCCAGGTTTCCTAAGCACTGACAGCATGTGCCTTACTCATTTCACTATACACTATAGTAAAACAGATGGAAGGGTAAAACATCCAGTTTTAGTTTGAAAAAAAAAATTCTCCATTAAGAAAAGTTTATCCTCAAAGATACTTAGATTCATCACAAAACAAATTATAACAGCTCTTTGCATTAAGATACAAATTAGAAGAAAAGCACCTGTAATCTCCAAAGGGAGAATAAGGAAGGACTTGAGGGTCATCCTTGGCTATGAAGGGAGTTGTGGCCACCCAGGGTATTACCAAAATAGTTTCTCATTTCTAATTAAGTACTTATAGATTCTGGTATTGATACAGAAAATAAAGGGCCTTGATTTATTTATAGGAGACTAATTCACACTATATCTGGTACACAAATTTGTTCACAATGTCACTGAAGGTGATGAAATATACTGAATACAAACCTTTAGAGTTTCTTACTCTCAGGTAGTACATGCTTTGGGGAATTACATCATGATTGAATTTCACTAAATATCTTCACAATAGCCTTTTCCCTCCCCTGTTACTGATGATTAGTGCACAACTGTGATTTTCTAGAGCTTGTAAATTCGTATGTAAGGTACACACTGAGTAGATCTGTTGAAGGTGAGCTAATCTAAACGAGATCGTTACGTGACTGGAACTGTAGTGGTAGAAAACATTTTTGAAAATGGATCACAACTCCCAAAGCTTGGTTACTCATACTGTGATGGGACATTAAGAAAGCGTGCAGAACCTCATTTCCTGTGCTGTGTCAGGCTTTTCTCTTAGGTCTAATGATGTCTTAGGACAATCATGAGCAGTCATCTACTGTGACAGGGAAACTGAATTAGCAGTCACATCTGAGACCTCACAAAGAATGTTGGCCCCTCAGCTAATCTGAACAGACTTCTCCAGTTGAAACATGTTACTCTTACCAGGGTATTACCAAAAATGCCAAGAAGTGATTTATATTGAGGAACTTATTAATATGTTAAAGCTATAGATACAATTAATATCAATAAATGCTATTTAAGTATATAGTATTGATGTATAGTATTTTTAAATGCTTAAATCTAGTGATAAGATCTTGTTATTCTTTTGTGTACATTTATACACTCTGAAATGCTTACTGGTTTGAAACTTACTTTTTGAGAAAAGGTCACAATATCAAAAAGTAAAAAACACACCAGGTACTTTGTAAGTAGTATGATATGAGAACCCAAGTAGTTACCAGCTACATAGGAAAATATTTCGTAATAACTGACTTAAGGCCTGAAGGTAAGTAAAATATTCAGTAGGTGGAGTAAAATATACTAAACCTTTGACTACAAATACTTTTATGATTCAGTATGTATAATATAATAGGCATTTGGAATGAACTTCAGATTATCAAAAAAATTGATTCCCTCCCCCCCACCCCCAATCTGCAAGGTTAATGATTTGTGGCCAGCCTCAGTAGAATATAGACACAGAGTAATGAAAACAGTTTCTTCCTAACCATTGTGCCTCTCTTACTTAATTAGCTGTTTTAGCCAGAATTCTGTCATTACATGAAAAATCTATAAAAGTGCATGAACCATTTCACACACACGTCCTCCCTCATACCTCTTCACCTTACTGCCTGCAGTTAATGTGAAGCGACTTATACCAATTTCAGAATCCTTTTACGAGCTTGTGGGCATTAATGAGAAGGTTTCAAATTAATCTTCCTCAGAAAAAAATTAATTTGCAATAACTCAGTTTTCAATTCCCTTCATCTTAAAGCATTAGCTGTAATAGAACTTGAAATATGTATCAATTTAAAATATAGCACACCTGAGTTAATGTGATGGGGCTTTATTGGCTTTGCGTCGTAGTGTTAATACGCATTCATAAAATAATTCTTTATAGTCTAGGTATCACACATTCTCACATGTTAGATCAATAGAGTAGCATACAGCATGACTACAAATATTAGCAGGTAGAAACAAAATAAATTGCCCATTAGAATTTACTTTAAGCCTGTACCTAACATGATTTCATTTTTAGTCAGTGACGAGAGAAAAAGGGCTCCATCCTGTCTTCTTGTTTTCAGCAACAAGAGAAAAATGTGTTAGTGTAATTCCTAGGATAGTTACTAAGTTTATTACCAAAATCTTGTCTTTCAAAATCCTCAGGCAAGAACTATTGAATTGGTAGCCTGCCGGCTAATTGAACCTGCACACAGGTTTCCCTTGACTAGCTCAGTTTTCTCAAAACTTGTTATTTCGAATGTATATGTTTTTTGTTTTTCCAGTCTTGTCACAGATCGACCTCTTTGAGTTATAAGGAGTTATAAAGCTGCCAATCGATCCCTGTAATACTTGGGACTTAAAACTGTATTCTTTTGAGGAAATACGTGGCTATTAGGGTCCATTGGATTCATTAGTGTCTAGTTTGACCTTTATGAAGTAAGAGAACTTGTTTGGCAAGTGGCTTGTCAAGGTTATTTCAGTAAAAACAACCAACAAAATAGCCCAAAACAAACCAAAATGACAACAAAGACTAAACATTTATTAATATTATAGATTTTCTATATTGGACAAAGAAAGTCCCATAATGCCTGCCCGATTAATACATGTTGTTCTCACAAACCTTTTGAACCTTTAATAGATTTTATTCCAAATACCTGTATCTTGTTAAAAAAATATTTTCTTACATTTATCTGTGTGTGTCCCTGCACATCACTGAAATTCTACACAAAACATCTTAAATAGTCTTTTCCATTTCCTTGCTCTATTTTTTATCTCATGTCTTTGCTTTTTGTCACAATGTGTGTGTGTGTGTGTGTGCGTGTGTGTGTGTGTGAACATATGGAAGTCAGAGGACAATCTGTGGGAGTTGTTTCCTCTTCTTCCATGTGGAATCCAGGGATCGAACTCAGGCAGGCAACCTTGGTGGCTAGTGCCTTTACCTACTGAGCCATGTCACTGGCCCACTTCCTTTCTTTTTGCTTTGTCAAGAGTAGTTACCTTCTCTGAACACCACTTAAATATTTGGTAGGATTGAGCTGTATTCTGCCATCCTTTACAGAGCATATTGATCTATGTATATATGAAACTTGATGACTGGCATTCATGAGGTACTCATTATTCCTGCGTTACAGTTATATCAACTGTGTTTGTCCCCAAATAGCTATTAATTTTATTTATTACTATAATATGCAGATGTGAAGCTGAGCTGTGGTGGTACACACCTTTAATCTCAACTTTGGGGAGGTGGAGACAGGCATATCTCTAAGTTCAAGGCCAGCCTGATCTACAGAGCAAGTTCAAAGAACCTGCCTCGAAACACACACACACACACACACACACACACACACACACTATAGGTATGTTGAATAAGTATTGACATAAAAGGTTATTTCTATGAAAACTATGGAACAGTTAAGAAAGATCTTAAATTTTAAATCTTAGATCTTAAATCTTTCTTAACTGTTCAATTCTTCCAGGGGCAGGATCACTTTTTAAATACTTTAGCAGAGTGAGATAGCACATGCCTTTAATCCTAGCACTCTGGAGGCAGGAGTAGGCAGATAGATCTGTGAGTTGGAGGCTAGCTTGGTCTACATAGAGAGGTTTAGGACAGTCAGAGCTCCGTCTCAAAACAAAACAAATCCAAAAAAATTGCTTTAAACATATCTGGGTAAGTGGTTGAATCTATCTGTCCCTCATTTCAATTGAGAGGAAGTTTGAATTTTTAACAAATCATGTCATACCTTCAGTTGTCTCAGGAATTTTTCAGATAATGAAGGGAAAACCCCCTCAGGAAAATTTTAGGCTTCGTACTGTTAATCATCAATCCTCCATCTCCACAGGGATTACCCAGGAAAGACAGCAGCTTGTCACCTTTCTGGCCTCCCTCCCTCCTGCTCTCCCTGGGGTTAAATGCTCAAGCAAATGGGATGTGTTTTAATCTCTCCCTCATTAAAGTGGTCCTTGAACGAGCAGCATGGGTATCATCTGGGAGCATGTGGGAAACAAGAATCTTGCCTTTCATCCCAGACCTGCTGAGTCAGAATTTACATTTTAACAAAGTCTCCAGGGACCTATAGCCAAAAGTTTCCTTGGCAAAACACTGCCTAAAAGAAATTCTAAAATGATAAAATTGAAAACAACGTGCCTTAAAGACTACTATTATGAGAAATAGGAGGATGTTTTAAATTAACCAGTAACACAGAAACTCAAATTGGGAGGGAAAAATCCCTACCCAGTCTGAAGACTATATACAGGGAACACTTCAGCTAGAAGCCATATTGAACAAGTAAGCACATGACCAGAAATCCTGTTTGTTTATGATAATCATGTGCACTCTGGCCCTGATGAAAAACCCAACATAAAATGCCTCAGCTGATGTTGTTTTGGGAAGACACTTGAGTGTATTTAGCCAACGTATGTGACCCTTTCATTTTTCTCTTGAGCAGAGGGGAAGTTACGTAAAGATTATGGAAATAATACACTTATATTTTATTACATATTATCACCTGAAACATTGTACATGAAAAATTGTTATAGCCATGTTGTGCCTCCTTGGGATGGATGATATCTTTCATAAAATTATGTTATAATATCTTAAGTTTTCTTCACTCCAGCAAGTCTTACTGCTAAGATAAACTACCGACAAAAAAACTGACTTTGTCTTACCATGTGACATTCCTCTTCCTGGGAGCCAGGAATATTTCCTAAGAATTTTTCTCATACCTTATCCTCTAGGCAGTGGGAGGATTTGTAAAACTGTAAGGTCATTTTGCTTACTAGTCA